TCGGCCGCCACCCGGGCAAAATTCAAAATTTCCTACCAACTGAAAATATTAGGTGTGTCCCGCGCGCTCATATGCCCTTATGCAGTTGCGAGCCCGGTAAAACACTCTACAAAAACAAAAAAACCCCAAGAATCTGCTTTATATCAGGGATGTGCGTTTACGAACCGAAAAAAGTTTTAGTACCAACACCCCAACCTCCTAACCCTTATCTTTTTCCCCCTCTTTATTTAACTCTTAAAAGATGCAACGGAAACGTATGTTGGATCAGCTGTTGGCTAAAAGGCAATGATAATACAGTACACTTCGAACCATCATACATGAACCGTGAACCAGAAACTCTTGTTTGCCACCCCCACCCCACCCCGGGGTGGTGCTACTGACCGAAGTGTCTTTAGGCCATTCTCAAAAAGGGGGACATTAACCTGTTTTTATGCTCAGTAAAATTATAAATGGGTTGATTCATCGATGTCATGCTCATAACTGTGCCTGAATTGCTACTGTAGGGAACTGCTGCCTTTTCCTTTCCTAATCCTTATACTATCGTCATGTACCCTCTACTTCTTTTGTATGTTTGTCACACTCTTGTGACCCACTTTTTCCGGGGGCCTTGATAGTCGAAGCAGACTTTGTGCTGTTGAAGCTAGAGAGGTGAGCAGAGTACGTCTGATTCCCTGTAAGGACTTCTCTGTTGACATCCACCCCTTGGTGCTCATATGACCTTATTATGCAGTTGTGAGCGCTGTAAAACCTCTACTAGAACTAAAACTTGTTTGCCAGAATCATAGAATGCATATTGTTTCCCGCCTTTTTTGTGTCACATCAAGAAAACAAAATTGAAAAATATGTGTGAATGAGTCAGTTATGCTTCTTTTTTAAAATGCCGTGCACTAAAATAATTCGTTGTCAGGAGTTGTGGGATGACTAGATCTAGAATGCACGTTCCTAATGAGGTAATTAAAAACATGCTTGCCATGTACACTGTCAAGTTAGTTTCTCTACCATGCACTCGTGTTTTGTCAACTAGACAGCTGTCTCTGCCGCCCACAATATAAAGCAGACAACCGTTATGGACAATGGCGAAAACACATCTATGTCGCGACGTGGTGGAATCAGGCGCTCGTCAATTTTTGGGCATCTGGAGTTATTGGTATCATTTGAAAACTGATTTATTTACCTTGCTTCCATTGACATAAATATCCATTTATCTTGAATAGAACTCAAGATAATATGTGTGATTGAAGAAAGTGGGATCGCCTGGTTACAGTGGTGAAATTTGCGAGAAAATGGCTGCCAAAATTGGGTAACTTCAATAGCTAAAGAGTCTTTGAAAACTGAAAAATGACATTATTTTGTGCCTTTAATCAATGTTTTTTGGGGGTAACATTTACATAGAAATGTGTTTTTATATGAACATAAAAGAGATTATGTAAAAAAAAAAAATTCAATGAAAATGTTCAAACTGGTGGGGAAAAAAACCGGTTTCTTCGTTTTGATTATTTTGACGAGCGCCTGATTTCACCACAATGTCACACTAGCCATAGACATGGATGGCTCGTGTCTCCATAAATAAATTATTGATGGTCCGTTATGGACAATCTTGTGTCCTCGAAGCTTGCCCGGGCATTCTACCACCCCCAGTGGGTCGGGGAGATATAAATAGGCCCACTGCACCGCCAGCAGGAGGTGCAACCCCTTCACTGGCGATTTGTCGCCCATGGACATCTACGCTCAGGT